GAGGAAAAAAAATGAAGATTTCTACCGCATGGTTTAAAAAAATAACTACCGGGAGGTTTCCTGTTTTAGACTGTCGGTATCAAAAATGTCTGTTCTGTGTTTTTTTTTTTATTATTTTAATATAATTTTAACATGATCCAACGGTTAAAAATTTGTGCTGTGAGTAAGAACCTTGTTGTAGAATGATTTAAAAAACATAAGAAAAAAGAAGAGATGCCAATAATTGATAGGATTTATAATGCCATGCTTTTATCTCATATCATTAAGACAACTGCAATTACAAAGATCAATTTAGAGAAATATCAACATATTCTGGGCCCCAGGATAACATGAAACCAATGACTTGCCTAGTTAACAACTAACAAGGACAAAAAATGAGGATGAGAATGTACAAGAGAAACGATTGATAGTTGCCATTTGAACCTTGAAGCAAAATCCTTGGACCTTTATTACATTCATCTACTTGAGTTCCACACCTTAGGTTCATCATCCCCTTATAAGAGTTAGGCCAATTGCTGTGACAATGAGTGTTGAAGGAAGGCCAAACTTGAGATGAGTCCAAAAGGAGAGAGTGTATTTTCCGGACTGAGCGCGGTGAGCCTGCTCGCAGACGATCAGATTCGCGGCTGAGCCCGGCAGTGACAGGTTCCCAGCAACCGTGCTCACCCATGCCAAGATAAGCCATGCCTTTTTAACTTCATGTGGTGATGTGGCTGCTGCATGGGCTGCTACTCTCCCTCCTAGCAGAAGAACTGAGAAGAGACATAATGATATGAACACACTAATTAGTATGCGCTAGTTAACCAATTCTTGTAAAATATTAACTTGTTAGGAGATGGGAAAATAATAGTTTTATACTCTTAAAACTCCCTTCCGATGCAAGTCGGATAATAGGTAACATAGGGGTAAATACTAGTAGAAAGCGCAACATATGAATATTTAATGATAAATCCGAAATACATTAAATGTCTAACATGTGATGATAATTTTTAAATGATATAGTTACAACAGTTTAAACTTAGAACTTCCTACTTTGATACCACTTAAGTTTACCATTTCTCCTAAAAACTTAAGTTATCAACAATTTTATACTCTTAACAGTGAATGGATTTTTATTGGTCAAATAAAGCTGCTATTATTTGGTATACCAATTAAGTGTGTAAATAGTCTTTTAGATTAGTAAGCAATATTTTCGTGTATTTCTTTCGTTTGAGTTAAAAACTTGAGTTAAAAAGTGAATTCATGTGAGAGAAAATAATGTAGTATAAAATGTTGAATTTGAATTTTGTGAGAGAAACACTGTAGTAAAAACTTGAGTTATAATTCAAATTAATGAAAAAAACGACGCTTTAATCCTTAATTTCTGACGGCCATGGCCTTTTTCCTTTGTGGTACTTTACTTTCAGGTTAACTGAATATACAGAGGAGGTGGAAGTGTATTCAAATTTATTTATTAGACTAAAGAAAGTAGCTGATAGTAGAAGGTAATTTTCCTCATGGGACAAATCAAATGGACCAAACTGAAAAATATGTGTAAACTTGTTAGACATTAAATAAGAAAATAAATGACATCAATGTGATAGACACAGGAAGATGGGAAAATAAAAAACCTTAAGACCCTACTCATTGTTAGATATGGGCTTTAAATGATTTAAAAATTTTTTATGGTAGTCGTTCCCACCACTTATTTATTTATTCCACTGAAAGTTGTGCATAACAACCTGAATTAACTAACTTTCTAATCCTTAAAAAAGGGGTCCTACGTGGTAATGATCAAACAAATAACAAGCAGAAACTTACCAGTAGGGACATTTGAGGCAATATTTGAGAGGACAAGTATAACAAGAGCAAGCATAACCATGCCAGAAACATGATTAATCTCTGCATAAGGCTTTGTAAGGTTCCATAGAGTATTAGGTATCCCGGTTCCGTTGAATCCTTCAACCGTGATAAACATTCCGCAGAAAAGTAGCAAGAGAGAGTATGAGACCTGATTCAATAAGACATGAATACTATATTGTCAAAGGAGCTTTGAAAAGTGTTAAAAAAAAGAAGTTTCTGGTATAGGAGGCAATGAGATTTTACCTTCTCGAGGCAAGGCCCGGCATCTTTGAAGTCGAGGACGACGAGAGCAAGTGAGGCTGTAAGCACAGTCCATGACATGTTGAATCCCATTAGCAAACCAATCAACATGCCAATTGTAACAAGGTATGTGCATATTTTCCATGCCAGTCTCTTCCATGCTCTGCTTGGTCCTTCCTTTTCACTTTCTGTTGTGTCTTTCACCATTTCTGTACTCTCATTTGGTCCATTACATCCCTCCAATGTTTGAGCAGTTGTATCAGCAATATTCAGATCATGATCTGTTGAACTCATGCAGATCTTGCCACTTTCTATATCTCCTTTGGTATCATTTAAACTTGGGGAGTTAATTACTTCCTTCTCAGCTTCTGATTCAGGACTTCCTTCATTGAGGTTTGAAGGCATAGCATTTGAAGCTGTTAAATCCAAGGACTGAGGAGTTGCGGATGTTTTCTTGAAATTGCCTTCCTCCAACTCGATTTCTTCGTCTTTTTCACCAGACAACAATCTCCAATACATGCATAGGAGAATTGACATGTTCACAATGACACCAACTAGCATGGCAGGGAAGAGTCCCAGTAAGAATTGGCCAAATGAGATTTTGCTTTGTATGGCGATGACCAAGTTCTGTGGATTGCCAATAGGAGTTGCTGAAGAGCCAATGTTTGCACTAGAGGCTAAGGCCAGCAAGAAAGGATGGGGCTTGATGTTGTTTTGCTTCGCGGTTTGCAGGACGAATTCAGTCAGGACAATGCAACTGGTGTCGTTGGTGAACAATGCGCTCGAGAGAGCGGATATCACACAGATTCGGCAAAGCAAATCCTTCGCCCCCTGACACTTCCATGAGAGCAATCGCCCCAAGTACTTGAACATGTCGGCTCTTTCGAGATAGAGACCAACAACCATGGTTCCAAAGAGGAGACCAAGGATTGAGAGATCAATGGAATCATATGCTTCATCTGGGGTTATGACCTTAAAGACGATCATGAGAATAGCTGCTAGGAGGGACCCTGCAGTCCTGCCTATAGGTAGAAAAGGAACCGAAGGGAAAACTGCCAAAAACCAGAAAACTGCAAAGGCAATTGAACCTAGAACCACCTTGTCAGGAGAGGCTAAGGCCATTTTTTGAAACTAGAAAAAAAAAGCTTTTAAAAGGAAAAAAAGAAAACTAGATTTATCAAATAAATGGAACAGTAGAAGCTAAATTTGCATATAAAGCTTCTAGCTTGCACCCTCAAACATAACAGGAGGGAAAACGAATAAGCGGAACAGTTCTTATGGGAATCTAATTCCAAATTGTTATTTTTATAATAAAAAAAAAACTGCTAAACTTGCTTTGAACTTAGAAGGAAGGAGAACTCTTCTAAAGACGAGAACATGTAACAGGGTTTTATAGCGTGTTTTTTGGTTACAGTAAATAATGTCTTGTTCTGTGTTTGATTCCCACAACTACTGCTACTGAAAAAAGCAAAAAAAAAAAAATTTAGATTCTTGAGTTAAATCTCCAAATGTCAAGTATTTTTCTAGAAATTTAATGCTTTACTTGCAAATGTTCTATGTATATATGTAATATATTTGACTCCCTAGTTTAACACTTGTGTTAAAATGAGTGACAAGACCTCTAGCTTTGATTCAACTGAAAGATTAAAAAAAAAACACAGCTAACAAAGACGCTTTGATGAAAGGAAAGCTATGTTATCATAAAAATACAAAAAACGGTTGAACTTTTTAGTAGCTTTCAAGTACTACCATTTGTAGACGAATTCCGAGACACCACTTGAGTAGCTCAGCATGAAGAAAGCCAGAAATCTGAAACCTTCGAAGATAGGTACCATAGTGTCCCTGTCCAAATTTACAAAGGTATATCAACTTGACTCCAACAAAAGACAGCACAACAAATTATTGCATTTTCGCGTTTAAGCGCATACTCAAGCAGAATATAATTAGATAAATCTGATCGCAACGCCTTATCACGTATTAAATGGTGGTTGAAAATATCTGAATCTCATTAAAACAAAAATTGTCGTTGAGTCTCACTTAACAAAACAAGTCAAATTTCAACAATTGATGTTGATTTTCCTTTAGTAAGACCAAGAAAAAAGGCCCGTCGTCCTGTAATCTTTGCCACCTTTTTTGTCAAAGCATGTGTCAGTTTTCTTCCAGCTACAAATTTGAAAATTCAATCTGCCAATGTCATGGCCTCCCTTCATGTGGGCAACTGGCAGATATTCATTTTGACAAAGATAGAAGAAGATGGGTCTCAACAAGTTGGTACAAAAATTAACAGTTTACACACTGGCAGCTAATATCATTATTGTTACGACATCACAAAGGAAAAAAGATATATAAATATCTGTCTTGAAGTGCAAGCTTTTCAAAGTTTATTAAAGAGGTGGGCCTTCAAAAGAGTAACGTCTTATAAATGATAACCATGCAAAAAGAAAAGCACGCGGTGAGAAACACACACTTAGTACTCTCTTTACTAACTAATCAAGCATGGGGGAAAAAAAAGAGTGAAAATTAGTTTGTGGGTAGAAATTAATAAGCAATATCCTCAACTGAAAGACTTGAAAAGAGCGCACCTCATTTGCTTTGAGTGATTGTCCTTATTGTCGCAGCCTCAGTAAGGTTTTCAACTTTCCATGATTTCTGTTTAACAAACGACATTAATCAAATCCATAAGCTGAGGGACATACACAAAAGCTTCTTTATAAATATACATTTTTTTTTTTCCTTTTTCCTTGGTTTGGTATCTGAGAGACAAAAGTGGGTATTGTTTGTCATTTGATTACCCATGATGAGCTTGACCCATTTGACAGTTTATATATTTATTTAATATATATTAGAAATTATTTTAAAAAATATTGTAATTAAATAAAATAGGAATGCTAGAGTCGTCAAATATCCTAACTAAGTGAAATAATATGACATTTTCATCTCTCTATTTTCCTCTCGGATGATTTTTTTGTGTTGTGAATTTTCGTGGTAATTCGTGTAACACCCAACTCTTTATTTAATTTAATTTTTTTTTTTAGGGTTTTGTGTTGTGAATTTTCGTAATTATTCGTGTAACACCTGCAAAATGCGAGAATCGTGAAAATAGCAAAATTATTGTGAAGACATTTTGACTAAATGTTAATCGTGAATTTGATTCACACTCCATTATACGCTTCCATCAATCATTAATTGACCAATAGCAATTCTCAAACGACATTTTACTTGCATCAGAAACCAAGGCCAAAATTAACTCACCAGTAAAAACAAACACAAGTCAGAGGCTTAGAGCAACGTTTCACAGGACAAGAATGACAAGAAGAAAGCTCTGCTTTGCCGGTAACAAGATCAATCCGTGCATGAGGTTTTATCAGCCTCCAGTATGGCATAAAAGAAATTTTGTATAGAATATAATGATTGGAGATGTCTTTTAAGTCCAGCAAATGTAGCTTTTTCAGTATTTTCTTATAACATCATTCGTTTCGTCTGAGTGTGTAAAACTTAAGTGTAACATTCAAAAAAATATAATTCAATATACGTAAATATTTAGTCTCGATTCGAGTTTTTAATTCAAGTTAAGATGTGATTTTTTGTGAGAGTTTTTTATTATAGCAAGAAAAAAAATTAGATGTGACTTTTTGTGAAAACTTTTTACTGTGATAAATTAGAATTAAAACTCAAATCATATGACTAAACGAGCTCTAAACTTAACAAATCAAATATTACACACGCATAATAATTGTGTTACATGAGAATACGAAAAAAAATTACATTTACGGACTTCAGACTTTGCCCATAAGCATTAGTAAAACGAAAGTTGAAAGAGAATGAAATCTTGAACTTACATATGTTGACACAAAAGAGTGTTTGAGTTTTGACTAAGACCCCGTTACTCCACACACTTTCACTTGTGTTTTGCTTACACTTATCATGACCAGAAAATGCACCATATTTGTAGGATGATTTAGCCTAGGCACTAAGTATCTGACTTGGGCAACAAGTATATAAACTTGGGCAACAATCCAAGGCCCCCCAAATAAAATAAAAATTTTCCAAGGCCTAAGGCTAGCCTTTATTGCGCCACATCATTCCAAATCATGGTTTTCAAAGAACGGTCCAACATCTTCGAAATGCAAGAATAAATGCTATTTTGTGGGTTGTAATATGTCACTCTCAACCACATGTTTTAAATGGATTGGTCAGTGGTAATAAGGAAAGTAAATCAGGAAGTATAATAATATTCAAGAAAGTAAATCAAAAAAGTATAATAGTATTCAAATCCACAAGTGCATAAGAGGGACATTATATAAATAACAACACGTTGAAAAACTGTCTAATGTTAGTTGATATATATGTTAGCAAAAATATGTATAATGCAACGAATAATAATAACTTTTGCAAGATCAAAATAACGAAATTGTAGAACACTATTTAACCTTTCTACCAAACTCGGAAAATGAAATTGCAAGGATCTCGAGGCACGTGAACCACACTTTTATTAAAACAGATTCGTCTCATCTAACAAATGCTTAAGGTAACGTTGGACGTCTGTCTCCTAGAATACAACGACAACAACGGTAGCTCGAAACAGTATCAGAACCGTCCGGCGAACTAGAACTCGGACATTTCCTCTATCACCAAAACCGAACTACAAAGAACTGCAAGAAAGACTCAAAGGAAAACGAGAGAACAAAGAGGAGAGTTCTGTGAAGATGTGCTCTCAAATAGCTGGAGAGACCCCTTTATATAGCCTGTTGTAGGGGATGTTACAAAGCTGGAATAATGGTGAATAAATCAAATTTATTCACGGCTTATGGTGATTCAATTCAGAGATTACAACATTTGAAACTTCCAGATGCATCTGCTCCAAAATATAACAAGATTTGGAGGTTAAATGTCCATAAACCGAGCAATAATGTTGGTTATTGCTGAAGCTTTCGTACCCTGCACTAGTGCAGAGTTAATCATCCACTAATGCAGCAGTTTCGAATTTCAGTTGGAAAAATAAAAAGAAAAAATTGCAAAACAAAGCCCGCACGGAGTGTGTTTTTCGGTCCGACATTCGTGTCCACAGGTCGCACGGAGTGGAAAGTGCACTAATGTCACTTTAAAGCCCGTCTGGACCGTGATTCGCCATCAGTGTTACAACGAGTGTTACAACATTCTTTGTGACACCCGGTTAAAAATAGACCTTTCAATTGGTATCAGATTTTTCGGTTCACTAAGCGTTTGCTTAGTGAGATTTTTGGAGTTTGTCTGTTATAACAGGGATGGATTTTCTAATAAAAGGTGGCTCGGTCTCACATCCTCCTCTCCTTGATGGTTCGAATTACTCCTATCGGAAAGCCCGCATGAAGGCATTCATCAAAACTATTGATTAGGGGTGTCAATTCGTGTCGCGTGTCGTGTTCGTGTCGTGTTTGTGCCGTGTCAGTTTTTTTTTCATGTGACCTGTACACGACCCGTGACACGAAAATAATTGAGAACCGCGACACGAACACGACACGGTCAAGTTGCGGGTCGACACGACACGAACCGAAAGTGACACGCGACACGAATTGACCTGCGAACCCGAGACACGACACGAATCTGGTGAACCGAAATTGACACGAAATTGTAGATTTCAGTCCATTTTGTAAAGATCTTAACAAAGTACCAAAGTCCAAGCATAGATAATAAAGTTCCAACACCAAAGTCCAAACCTAGATCTAGATAATAAAGTTCCAGCAACAACATTACACAACCACATTGATGCAAAAGAAAATCACATTGATGCAAAAGAAGTCCATGATGCAAAAGAAAACATCACATGAAATGAAACCTGCATAACAAAGTCCTAAAACCACATAGTTCAAATGAAGCAAAAAAAAAAACATTACACAACCATAATAAAAATCAAATTCAAACGCATCTGGAGTTAGAAGCTTGGTCAATAGTTTTTTCAGAATGTATGTTAAGATCAACGACATTGTTGATGAGCTCATCCATATCTTCATGAAATACTTTGAATCCATCTAGGAAAAAGAGTTATTGATTAGCATTTGTGAGACTGAGAGTAACAATATGCTGGTTCCCGAATCGAATTCGGGTGCGGAAGCGTGGTGGGGAAACAGCGGATCGTGTATAACAAAAATTTTCATAAAACTTTTGAGATACTCTATAGATTATATTAATTTATGCACGAATAAATTAATCACATTAATTTACATCATTCAAGGATCAACCGAAAAATACCTGGAAGCCGACTCGGATGATAACTTGAATTTCTTTGACCACGAACAGTCCTTGCTCCAAGCTTTGTGTCTAGAATACCAAAGTCTTCCACGTTAATTCCTTGATTCCACGTAGACGTGTGTGTGGCACACGTGAGACAAAATAGGTTTCTTAAACACTCGAATTTCCACAAACACCAACGCATGCACGATGTGGAATTTTTAGAGAAAAATATTTTGCTTTCTTTTTCCTCTATGAGAATTTCGGCCACACTAAAAAACTAGGGCT